ACATTTATAAAAATATTTTGAAATGATTGTTGACAATTTTGAATTGTCAGTTTCAACAACATGTTTACTCATCTGGAATAAGTGTTTTGAAATGTAAAAACATAACAATTAATGTTTATAATAAATAGTATTGTTTCTCTGTAAGTAGATAGCACTTTTTCTTTTGTATTGTTGCTCGTTTCAATAAATTAAGTCTGTTCTGATTAGGCTAAAAATGCGTTACGTAATGAAACCAGTGCGGTAATGAACTTCATTACGTAACTCAAATCACCTCAAATGAGTGCGGTAATGATGACTTATTCAAGCAGTCGTAGATAAATAAATTAATATCATGGAATAATATGATTACATCACTTTCCTCATTTATAAACATATATGCACATTTGTGCATTTATTTCAGTAGCTTCTTCAACTTGTACGGATTTTTTTCGTAAGTCATTAAATAATATCCAATTGGCATTGTTGGGCACAAATGCTGGGTACTGTCCTACATCATTCAAAGATTGAGTACCTTCGTAACTGATGATACCTGCGGGGATATAGAATTTGTTGTGGAGTAACAAATTGCGTGCGTAATCACTCAATTTTATTTTATTGTTCTCTCTATTTGTTGTTTCTATAAACAGACCACATTTTTTTTGCAATTGTTGCTTAGAGTTTGCATGTAGTTTTCTATTACTTGCTTTAGCTGTGCATAGCCAAATATTGTTACGATGTCAATATCGATTGGTAAACTTATGTTTTTATGAAAAGTAACGTTTAAACAATTATTGCAGTTTTTAGTCCTACAATAACTAAATTCTTCTTTAAATAGTTGTGTGCAAAGAAACGCAATATTTGAAATAGCATTCACTATTATCACGCCAGCAATATTCTGACTTCCAAAATAACTTATTCCTGTATAATTTTAGAAAACTAAAGCAATCTGTGCAAACATTCTCAACATGATTTCTAAATGAATTGTGTGCAAATGGTAAACTATGAAATATACTGTCGAATTCGCAAGTATTTTGAACAATATATTTTTTATTGAAATAGATATTAATGAAACTTACTTATGAAAGAATTACTAACTGAAACTTCCAAAAATTTTAATTTTCAAAGACTAAAGTGTTCTTTATAGAGTTGTTCTAGTGAAAATATTAGCTGTTCCAGATTGCTTAGGTATAATAAGTATATATTTGTGACATGGAACTGAAAATAGAAAAACTATGGTCACAGCAATCAACTAGACATTTTGGCAACCCAACCTACTTTTGTTAGTTTAGTTTATTTATTAATTTATTACTTAGTTTTGCAAAATAAAATACACTTTACATCGCAACTTATGTTTTATTATTATAACTTTAAAGAGAAAGGTGATTTTTATTATATTAGATGGTCAGATTATTCCATATTTGTTAATTATTTAAAACTATTATTATATTAAAGGTTGGGTACACTGATTCAACAAAACCTATCCGATATAACAACAACTAATAAAATTTAAGGTTTTTCTAGTGAAAAACCTTACAGCTGTTCTGAATTGTTTTAATTGTTGTAAGTAGTAATTTTTAATATGAAACTTTAAAAGAACTAAAGCCGCTATATTTGTACTAACATGTTGCTGCCATGCTATATTTGGACACACTTTAAAGCGTATAGAGATAAGGGGAGAAAATGCTACAATCTATAAATAGCTTGAATTTAGGGGATTCCCAAAACACTCCAATTCAATCGACGCCGAACCGAGTATTTTACTGAATTACGTAACGGTTATTAATATGAAATCTGTGTGCTTCCCCTGGTTTATTCATGTATCCGGGTATTTCAAGCACATGTAAATAACGAAGTGGAACATCACATTTAATTAATATTTGAATCACTCACCTCATAACGTGTATGTCTATCGTTAGAAATATAGATTTTATACGCAAATAAAGATAATCCTTATCTTTTTCGTATATAAATATATCGTGTATGTAGGAGCAGGATTTAGATCATATTACGAATAAATTGATTTAAGAAAATCACTTACAAGACACAATATAAGGCACTAAAACCACGAAACATAGTTGTTGTATGACTGATCGACGACTGATTGTGTTCGTTCATTATTTATATAGTTCAACATCAAAACACATGAGTACGCAATGTTGCCAACTCACAAAAATTTAGAACTTTTTTTAGGAATCTCAACTTATTTATTAGAATCACTTTAAAAACCTTTCTTTCAACATCGAATAAAACAAAAAAAATAACAATTATAATGATTAACATTATTATTCGCTTCCGCCTTCACCTTCGAATGGCGCCTCGGTCTCGGCGAGCAAATCCTCGTAATTAACTCCTCGAATTTTCCGTAAATTTAAAAAGAATAATACCGGTATGGCGTTCCACGATAACATCATCACAGCAAAATTCATCAATTTTTTGGTGAAAGACATCCGATACGAAGGTGGTCCAGAAATTATGTTAGCTCGTGGTGTATAAATCATTTTCGATCTATGCTGAGATTGCAATAAACGTTTTATTGAAAACATTTTTCGAATTTTCTGAAAATAAATATTTTATCAATATTTAAATGTCAATTTAATCAACAATAATTACACTTTCAGATTTTTCTGGAATAGTAGATTTCTACAATTTTAAACTTGTTAGTTTAGACACTCAAACATAGGTATTGCTTTCGTGTGTGTATTTAGTATTTATGTTATATTTAAAACCATGTAATATCATGGTTTTTCAAATTTGTGTCTTCGATTTAGCCGTGCATTTAGCCATTTCAAATATTAATAACGTTATTTTTCTCTTATAACAAAAAGACTGGATAAAAAATTACTTTGGTTCCTTCTGTTTTGAGATCGATTTCAGAAAAAAAGCAATTATTTTTGAATGACTAATGCTTACATCATCACAGTAAGAACTTTTCGTAGTCGTAAGAATGGAGATAAGAAACTGCGGAGTTTAGATAATCTCCATTCTTCGCCGGAAAACAGTGTGAATAATGTAACGTTCGGAGGCGTTGGACCCCGGACTGGGACACAGTGCGGAGGCTCCTTCCACTATTTAATTACTATGCTCCATAATTGATGGTACGCTATGGCGCCGGATGGGAAAACGGCTTCCGGCTCCCGCCGACCACGAAGGAAGGAACCGGGCTCTCTATCAGCGGCTTCTTGGAAAATCTCTATCTACCCGGGATTAGCTAATATCCGCTCGGCGGCGACCCCCTAAATGGAGATTGTGGTGTGCACTCGGCGCACCCCCATTCTCTTCCTAAAAATCCTTCGGACAGTTTTTCGCCAGAATTGGTCTATTCTACGAGATTAAAGCGTTATCTTTCCGTGTTTAGTTCTGAGAGAATAAGTTTTTTTTTCGCAGGTTGGGGTTGGTTAAAAACGAACGGTTATTTCCGTGGTGTATATTTTTTTCTCGGACGTGTAATGTCGTTAACAAACTTCTGAAAAGTAGATAAACTGGAAGTAATTCAAAACGAGATTGTAACAAATCTGTAACTTTTCCAAGAAAGTTATCTATGCGGGATAATGAAAGAAAGAGCCAGAAAAATTTATTCTCCTTGCGTAGACAATCATGAAGTTGTGGTCTAAGTGGGAATAGAAACTAATTATTTAAATTATTAACCCATTTGTAGCATACATATTGTAATAAAATCCCTGTTTCCGAAGAAACAGAAAAAAGACTAATTAAATTTAAGAAATTTACTATATTGGATTAGACTATAAGTAGTTAGTTTTGTTATGATTTTCGTTTAGTTTTAAGAAAAATTAGGACGATGTGCAAGAAAAAGGTAATTCATTGAAGTCTATGACCTTTGTTATATATGCAACCAAACAAACAAACGACACCGTCCAAATCTTGCATCAATTTGTCCATGAATCGTTGCCATGCAGATGGAGCAGTTTTAACTCCGAACATTAGTCTCTTCACCTTGTAGACCCCTTTGTGCGTAGAAATCGCCTGGATCATAGAGCATTCTTCGTCCATCTTCATATGTAGGTAAGCGTTTCCTACATCGAGTGTACAAAAATACTTGCCACCCTTCATTTTATTGAAAATATCTTCTATTCTTGGAATCGGGTAACGGTCATCTTGCAAATATTTATTTATGGTAATGTTGTATGCTGCACATATTCTTATTCTCCCGTCTTTTCTTGAAACTGGTACGATGGGTGTACCCCACGAAGAATGGATTGTCTTCTCTATGATTCCTTGCCCTTCCAATCTGTCCAATTCTTCCTCCACCTTTGGCTGTAAAGCGTATGGTACAGGTCTTGGTTTGCAAAAAACTGGTCTAGTATTCGGGTCGATGAATTTATGGCTGTACTTGTAATTTGGAATTTCTCCCAATTCGTTGGACAACACGTTTCTGTATGAATTTAAAAACGTTTCCAATTCTATATCCATGTGTAAATTATTGATTTCTGGCCAATTTATTTTTATTTTCTGTAACCAATCTCTTCCGAATATGGCATCAACTTGTAAAGGTAAAACATACAGTTTCCCTTCGGCTGTTTGATCGTTGTAGCGTATCTTGACCATCGTTGAACCGGTAGGATGTATGATTTCTCCTGTGTAGGTTCGTAACTTCACGTTAGTAGGATGTATGGTTGTATTGGGGCATATTTTCTTAAACTGTTGTATCGAAATCGTGGAAACAGCTGCACCTGTATCCAATTCCATGTTACATTTTCCTTCGTTTATTCGAATTGGCAATAGAATTTTAGATGTATGTAATGAATTAATTGCAACAATTTCGTTGACTGGATGAACTTCTTCTTCTTCTTCTTGTTCGTTTTCACTTGTAGTATCGATTTGTTTTTGCGTTTTTGCTTTTGTATTTGTACTTCGTTGCATACAAACCGATTGTACGTGTCCTTCTTTCTTGCATTTGTAACATTTTAAGTTTTTCGCTTGGCAATTATTAGCTTTATGGCCTGTTTTGCCGCATCTAAAGCATTTACCAACCATGTTTTCTGTATTCTTTGTATAGTTTTTTCTGTTACCATTAAAATGATTTGATTTCTTCTGGATCGCATTTATTTGTCCCGGAGCTTGCATTAATGAAGATTCTTTTTTGGATACTTCCATTAATTTTGCTATTTGTACCACATCATCGAAAGTTGGATTCTTTTGTTGTAATAGCCGTGCTCGTACTTCTGCATTACGGACTCCTCTAATAAATTGTGCGCGTAAATGCGTTTCTATGGTAGATGTTTTACATTTTGTACAATTGAACTCACAATTTGTGGTAAGTTTTCGTAATTCAGCGACATAGCATTGAATTGATTCTCCTTCTCCTTGTAATCGGGTGTAAAATTTATGTTGCTCTGCAGTTACACTAGCCTGAGGTGCTAGATATTCACGTAAAAGCTTGATTAATTCATCGTATGATCGTGTATTAGGAAGATCTGGGGCCGTAAGTTTAGTTAAAATTTGGTAAATTTTAGGACTAAGACATCCTATTAAAATTTGAACACAAAGTTTTGTTTGTGAATTTTTATCTACGCCGCGTAGTTGTAAGTGGTTATCTAAACGCTGTAAGTACGAATCGAAATTCTCGTTGTTTTCATCATAGGGTTGTAAATTATCTCTTCCCGTATAATTTGTTTGTTTGTTTTCAATGATTTGGTTTTGCGTAGCTTGAACATTTTTCAAAATGTCTGCGATTTGAGCTAAAACGTTCGTCAATTCGGCCATTTCAAGAAATAATGTAAAGGATTTGTATTTATAGGAAAATGATTGTGCCTAGAGGGCTATCGAGGCAGGTTTTAGGATGCCCTTGAAACACACATTTATTTCTTTATTATTTATTTTTCTTTTTCTTTTATTTTCTTCTTTTGCGTATTTTTCTATTGTAAACGTATAAATTTTTGACTCCTTATCCGCTTGTATTCGCGTAAATGTATAGAAATTTGTAATTGTACCTGTAATTTTTCCTCGTGTATTTTTCTTCTCCTCTTCTCCGTCTCGTCGCCAATTTGTTGTATATGTAAACAACTTGTTTGTAGAAACTTTTATTAGTTTTATTAGAATAATTGAACATAACAATTAGCACTCTAAAGGTTATTTTGTAAGCAATGGGTTAACGTAAACGTGGTTCTTCTGAACTCTTCTGACTGTCAAATGATGCTCCTCTTCTGGTGTTCGCTGAGCGGCGCTTGTGTCGCTTGTATGTTTGGTTGCATATATAACAACCTTCAAATTTTGACCTTGACATTTACATTTTGACGGGTATTGATTTTGGCGATTTTCGATTCTAAAACCATGCGAGATCGATAGATCGTGTCGATTTAGCCCTTAGGCCGCAATTTCACCCGTTTCTGAATCATTTTACATATTTAAATTCCATTTTTTTTCTTTTCAAACTTTAACATCAAATTACGAATTTCTCGAAGGAATTTGACACCCGAAAGCGCGATTATCTAAAAGAACGAAAAATTAGCTACAAAATCTTAATCAAATTTAAAGTTTATAAATAATTTCGAATATTTTCAAAGTTGATAGTTATTTTCTTTAAAAAATTCAATCATTTTGGCTAACCTGTGTAATTTATAATTCCCGCCATTTTATCAACCAATCAGAGAGCCCAGATTCAAACTGACGCGATCAAATTCGGATATCCAAGAAGCCTTTGTCCAAAAAGGGTATATAAGGCCGCGCAAATTTGACAGCGGGAGAGTTCAATTTTGGTTAGAGCGAAGCGTTGTCGAACCTACGTCAATTTAACCTAAAAATTTCTAACCTAAGTTTGAACTTAGAATTTTTTATCAAGTAAAAGTAAACAAGTGTTTCTAAATTATCTGCGAAGAAATTGAAACCATACCTGAGATCGAGTCCAATGTTCTATCCTGTCCCCGAAGGACCCGAGAATCCTAAACTTCTAACACCGAAGAACATCCATCCCGCAAGACCAAGGTCAACCAACCATTTTTAACTGACATGTCACACCTCCGGAAACAAGTTAAGTGAATATAATTTCCTTTTATCGAACTCTTTAATTTTTATAACCCTCGCGATTAAAATAAAAAAAAATCAATCTTAAAAGACCCTTATAAATTAACGCGTATAAGCTTTGTCAATTTCAACACTCTTATAAAGGAGTTACCTCTTTCTTGCACAGACTTCTTTATGCTCTATTTTATATTTAGTTCGTAAATTTAAAAATTTTGTTATTGTTGTCTCCATGAACTTGCGTTTTATTCTTTTTTTTTGTCCCTGAGATTCATGTTCTTTAATTTAACAAGAAAAATGTATTTTTATTTTTTATTTTTAAAATTTTGCCACAATTTCAAAGCTAGGTTTCTCGCGAACCATTCATTCGATTTTGATGATTCCTTTTTTGATCGAAAGGTTGATTCTTCTGTAATAATCCTGCGAGAGAAATTTTTATTCGGATATTAATTTGAGCATATACGGGGTGCAAGAATGAGAAAAGCATTTTTTCTCGAAATTTGCAATACCCTGGGGGGAGGGCAGATGCTACAGCAGAGGGTGTTAACTGGAATCAAACGGTAACCCAATCTTTTCTGAACATTTTGTTTTTTTATTCACTCTATTATCTCTGTTACTAACGAAGATGCAGTGTTTTAAAGCGAACGCCTGTGAAAACAAGACAAACAAGCATACAAAATCTAAGGTAGCGCGCTAGGTAGCGTATGTCAGTTTGTTTCGAACAGTAAATTGACAGTTGTCAAAGATGCCGTTGTCAATAACTGATGTTGCGCGTATTATTAGTTTAATTGAAGATGGCAAAAGTCAGCGGTATGTTGTCCATACGTGGGGTATACCCCGAACAACAGTTCAGGATGCCTGGAACCGATATGGAAACAGGAAATTTTACTAGGCGGCAAGGTTCCGGTAGAAGACGAGTGACAACAGCAGTTGATGATCGATTTATTGTGCTAAACACTTTGAGGAATCGTAGAACGACTGCTGTAGAAACTCGGCATCGTCTTGAAATGGTGCGTGGGGTTGACGTAAGTGAAAGAACCATTCGTCGAAAACTTGCTGAAAGTGATCTGCAAGAAGACCTGCCAAAAGACAGCGGCTGCTCCAGATACATCGGCGAGCACGTCTTCAATTTGAATGGAAGAATGGGGTAAGGTGCTCTTCACTGACGAGCCCCGATTTTGTCTCCGGTCACCTGATGGTCGAGAACGAGTGTGGAGACGTCGTAATGAAAGGTTTGCGACCTGCACAATTTCGGAAAGAGTACCTTTCCATGGAGGTCATGGTATGGGCGGGTATTTCGACGGAAGCGCATACAGCGCTCATCTTTGTTGAAAATGGCACGCTAAATGCCCACCGTTATATCCAAGATATTCTGCAAGAAGCTGTCGTGCCCTATTCCCATTTTATTGGTGACGGATTCATGGTAATGCATGACAATGCGCGACCGCACGTAGCACGTGTGGTTTGCGAATATCTTGATGAGGTGGGTATGTATGTATGTAGTTTCATGTGCACTTGGGCCCCAACGGTCCCTTTGTACATCCTCACGGTTTACTTCGGCCATGTGTAGGTCTATTTGGAGGAGTGAAAGATGTTCGAAGATCAGGCTGATACCGCTTCTCGCCTCGCCTTCAGCCGGGCTGATACTCCAACGCCCAGCAATTTGAAGACGACCCCAAAGCCGGGCTGGTACTCCAACGCCCAGAAACTTGGGTGCATGGCTGAGTACCGCTCAAAGAGCGCAGACGCGCTTTCAACCCGTTTTTACGTTCACAACCTCCAACTACACATGTATCTGACGACAACCAGAGATGTTAGACTGGTTGCCGGGACCGACGGCTTAACGTCCCCTCCGAAGGACGGGGAGGCGACTCGGCGTGTATTCACTGGGAATCGAACCCAGGACGCCGGCGTGGTAGCCCGAGAGCTTACCACGGGGCCATTCGCCCCCCATCCAGGTGGTGTA